CAGGTTGCTTGACTTCTACAAAAGAGTTATACAGGAATCAATTAAAATTTAAACAAATACACACAAACATTAGTGCAAGTTTGGACTTGCTTTTAAGAAATCTTATTAAATTGAGTTTTCATTACATAGATAACAACAGTAGCTAAGTGCTTACAGCCCCTTTCAAACTTTTTGCCTTTACTGCTGTCCTGTGGTTTGGAATCAAGATGCACTTTATTTTTCATTTAACTACACGTTCTATGCAAGCACACACAGATGATTCAAGGTGAGAAAATAGTCCAGGACGTTTTAGAAAATTCATTCCAAGTAAAAAGTGAAATAAACTTGGTCGTTAAGTGCCTACCCGTACGTCTTCAAAGCGACACACCAGCGGGTCTCCACCTGCGTGTCCGGCTGCAGAGATTCACGTGTTTTCCGGGCGGCTGGCGCCCTCTGCTGGACACGGCAAAGACTCGCACCAGCGGCTTCCGAGAGAAATCCAGGACAAAGCTGTGTGGGGGAAAAAAAGCACAGATCAGGGGATGGGTATTAAAAAAAAAACCCTCAAAAGCCTAGATCAAACATCAGATCCCTCCGAGCCTAGCCAAGACGATATCAAGAAAAAAAAACCCTGTCCTTTGGATGAGACGTAAAACCGAGGTCCTGACTCTCTGTGGGCATTAAAAATCCCAGGGTGTTTCTCGAAAAGAGTAGGGGTGTTACCCTGGTGTCCTGGCCAAATTTCCCCCTGGCCTTTCCCAGTCATGGCCTCCTAATAATCCCCATCTCTGAACTGGCTTCATCACTCTGCTCTCCTCCCCACTGAGAGCTGGTGTCTGGGGAGAGGACTGGAGCATCATCCAGGTGGGGCTGCACACTGGTGGGGGTGGAGGGGATCCCCATGACCTGTAAAGAGCTTTGAGTGGGGTGTCCAGAAAAGAGCTCTAGAAGTGTGAGGAGTTCATATTAATTAAGAAGCGGAGAAGGTATGAAGACACTGAGCCAATCTGCCTCGATCGAGGTGAACTGATCCAAACTGGGGGCCGAGCAAGAATGAGGAGGGCAAGGACATCTTAGAAAATGAACTAATTCACGTTAATTAGCCTAATCAACATTAAGATTAGATCACTAGAGGACATCTGAAGGCATGGGCATCAACAGCCCTTAATCTGAAAGGTAGGCCTCCAATATTTGATCAACTATGAGGAATAATGTGACTATCCAGCTGTCAGTGGGAGATCTTTGCTGTAAAAGCACTGACCCCAGCAACTGGAATCTCAGACCTGCTGGAGAAATGACTTCAGAGCCAGGCAGGCAATGTCTGTGCCGATGCATCAGGGCTGGAACTTGCCAGGGGGAAGGAGTGCTCGATCCACTCCAGTGACGTCTCCTTGTTGGAGGCCTATGGCCCGCCGAGCAGCGGCCTTCCCACGTAACGAAGGAGGGGGTTAACCGTGCCAGTCGAGCACAGGGGATACAGAGACTCAGCTGTCGCTGACCCCGAGACGTCCTAGATCTCTGTGTCCTAATTGGGACGGAGACGATATTCTCATCCCATCATTGAGCCACCAGGACAATACCTCCACAGAAACTCACCTGGCACGGTAGCACCCCCCTCCCCCTCGAGGGGAGCTCGGAATTCCCCACCGGAGCCCCGGCACCCACGCCCTGCCTCCACAATGGGGCTAGGAGGCGCCCCGACACCAGATCCACGCTCTGCCATTGAGCGCCAGATGCTTATCTGCAGACTTCCTCCCAAAACGCGGTCACCGCGACAATCGGAGGGCGGCTGAACGAACGGGATCAGGTGTACCTGGGAACCGGGACACCCATGGGGGGGGCCTCCCTGGAGCCCATTGTGAGCTGGACGGAAACCGACACCGGCCCCTGCCATCCGATCCGCCCGCGCCCCCGAGAGGGAGGAGGAGGAGGCGTGGCGCTCATGCTGCGGAGACAGGGAGAGAGAGAGAGACCGAGGAGGGC